TGGGGGCGTGGCTGCGCGACGCGGACGGACCGGGGCGCCCTACTCCTCCAGGCAGGAGTCGCAGACTTCGTCCAGAGGGTCGGTGTGGCCGGCGGGGGAACCTGTGTGCGTAGGTCTGGAGCTGCGCCTCTCCGTCCCTTTTCTTCTCTCCATCCGCTGAGAGCAGCCGGAGCCCTCGGCCTGGGTCCCGCTGCCCTCCCGGCCAGCGGTCTTCAGGCTCTCTGTCCGCGCTGGGCATTGGGGGGGGCTCCTGGAGATTTTTCGGGACGTTTCCGCCGCCTTGGTTCGTTCCTGCCTAGCCTCACTGTGGCCGATCTCGTTTTCTACTTTCTAGGTGGCCCTTGGACTCTCGCCCTCGGAGGGAGGCCGGTCCGAGCGGTCTCCGGCTGCGGATCCCTGGATCCTCTTGTGGGGAGCCGGGCGTAGCTGCGGGTAGGTGGGCTTCTTATTGCACTGCGCCTTGTGAACTTATTTTCTGCATGGAGGTTGCTGGGGGGCGGGCGGCTGGTGCAAACGTCTGCCCTCAACTTGCTTTGAGGTCTGGGGGCTAGANGGGCGTGGCTGCGCGACGCGGTCGGCCCTGGGCTCAGAGCTCCTCCCGGCAGTGGTTGCAGGCTTCGTCCGGAGGATCGGTGTGGCCGGAGGGGGAACCTGTGTGCGCAGGTCCCGAGCTGCGCCTCTCTGCCCCTTCTCATCTCTCCATCCGCGGAGAGCAGCCGGAGCCCCCGGCCGGCGGTCTTCAGGCTCTGTCCGCGCTGGTCATTGGGGGTGGGGGGCGCCTGGAGATTTTTCGGGACGTTTCCGCCGCCTTGGTTCGTTCCCGCCTGGCCTCACGGTGACCGATCTCGTTTTCTACTTTCTGGGTGGCCCTTGGACTCGCCCTCGGAGGGAGGCCGGTCCGAGCGGTCTCCGGCTGCGGATCCCTGGATCCTTTTGGGGGGCGCCGGGCGTAGCTGCGGGTAGGTGGGCTTCTTATTGCACTGCGCCTTGTGAACTTATTTCCTGCATGGAGGTTGCAGGAAATAAGGGGGGCGGGCGGCTGGTGCAAACGTCTGCCCTCAACTTGCTTTGAGGTCTGGGGGCTAGATCTACTCCCGGGGCCCCCGGGTTTCCTCGGAGCAGAGAACGCTCCAGCGTTCCAGCCGCTACCTTTGCGTGGCAAATACGCCTGCGCCGCGGTACCTGCTTCTTAGTAGAGCGCTGTCCCGCCCAGGAGAAGGGCCGAAATTCCCCAGTGTCAGGCAGGGTGGCGAGAGATGCTGGAGACCAACAGACTAATAGGCGAGGGCGGCGTAGAATGGCTAAGGTTCTCAAAATGTGAGCATCCGTCCCAGGTTTAGGCTCGCTCTGGCTGGCTGGTGCAGGGGAACCTTCTTCCTGAGGCTGCAGGGGGCACACAGGTATGCAGGTGAATGGATAGAGTGACAGTTAAGTTTCCGATTAGGGGTGGGAGGTAGGGACTGAGAAGAAGAGAGGGCAGAGATCTAGGTAGCACACGTATTCCTGTGCATAGGATGTGGTGTTTGTCGGTAGTCTGGCACCTAACTTTGGGGTGGTCGTGGGAACTGGGGTCTGGATTGTGGTCACTGCTTTTTTAGAGCTCAGAGAGGGACTGGACTGGACTCGCGTGGACTCCAATCACATGTTGTCCCCTGGGGCACTGCTGTCAGCAGACCATAATGTACTCTGTTTTTGCAGTAGGGTGGGAATCCAGGGTCGAGGGCTAGGCTTTCAAGGGGAAGACCCCCGCCCAGAGTGGGGAATGTACCTGAGGGGATCCAGAGTGTGTGGTGGAGGTAGGTGCCAGTGGCCCTCACAGCTTCGAGAATTGCAGGCCATCCTGAGAGGTACTGGGCGGAAAGATCAACATAGCTGTAGTTCCTTGGAGGAATTCACTGTGGAAACTGGCGTGAAAGTGTGTATGGGCCATTGTGCTCCTATGAGCTACTGGGGTGTGGGTGCAGGGTTGAGGCAGAGTGTCTTCTAGAGGTCATGAGTGGGTCTCCCTTTGCAGAGAGACCAGGTAGGGGCTTATGGTCAGGCTGGGCAGAGTGAAAGAGCCCCAGAGGAGTGCTCCTTACCTTGGAGAAGAACAGATTGCAGCTGCTGATGGAGCCTTTCGTGATGGCTGCATGGAGAAGGAGCGGCAGGTTCAGCCATTAGAGGGGGGCTCTCCAGGCCCTTGACATGAGTGACTGGACTGGTGAGAACAAACCCCAGTGGTCTCTGATGAGCAAGTGAGATTCCAGGATTTTACATGTGGGAGTGAGAATGCTGCGCTGTTGACTGGAATGGGGAATGTAGGGACGTGGCGTTCAGGGTGGGGGTGGCGCTGCCTGCAGGTAGTTCTCAGAGTGGTGAGAGTTGAGTTTGGAAAGCATGGGGCGAGGGACAGGAGGGGACAGATAATAGCAGGACTATTATCTTCTTTCGGGATGCAGGTAGTACCTGCCGTGTGCCTGGTACTGGGATGGAAAAGAATCTCATGACAGAATCTGTGTACTTAACGTTAGTTTTCAGTGTTTGATGTGGCTGGGAGCCTACTCAGCAGACTGAAGTGTAGCCTATGATCTGTGTGATGTGTGGTGGTTAAGCCTGTGGTCTCTACAGCCAGGTTCCACTTCCTCCGCCACTTACTGGTCGGAGTGTGGCTGCAGGAAAGTTACGTCACTACTCTATGCGTACGGGATGACAATAGTACCAACCTCTTGTGGGGTGGTCACTGTCTGACATGAAAAAAGCACTCAGTAAAAGGTTGCTACTATCATTGTCCTGAAATCCCCTGACAGTCCCGATCTGGCCCCCTTTCTTCTTCTGGAATAGACAGCATCTGTTGTTGTACCTTGCCCTTGACATGTCACAGGTGGCATTTGCCTGCCTTCTTGGACCTCCTAGGTCAGCCCCCTGGGTCCCTCCTCCCACTCGGAGATCCTGGTTGGGAACCAGGGTTTTGCCTGCTGCTGCCTCCGCCTGCTAGCCCAGTGGTGACGGTTGGCCTCGCTCGCGCTCTTCCCCACCTTGTTTTTGGACAGATTGCCTTGGATGATGGCCTGCGTCTGACAGTCCCCTCAGCTCTTCTCAGCTCTCCTGAGGCTGCAGCTGTCAGCTCCCCTGATCCTCAGCACTTGCCTAGAAAGGTCCAGGTCTGCACACCCTGTCCAGCTGATTCCTGTCTTGTGTCCTGTGGGCAGCCTCTGTCCCCACCCTCCTTCTTGCGCCGGCTCTTTTACCTTCCCCCCTCTACTCCCAGCATGCCTCGTGGCTGGCGCCGTGGGCTGGGCCCTCGTAATCCCATCTGGGCAGCAGCCAATTACGCCAATGCACACCCTCAGCAGCAGATGGACCCAGCCTCTCCTGGGCTGGCATACACCCCCCCTTGTGGATCCCTGGATTGAGTGGCCCTGCTGCGGGGACCCTGTGTGTGTGCTCACGACCACGGAGCAGAAGAGCACAGCTAGTGGCACTCCCGGCGGTAAGCCCAAAGAAAGGGGTCCCCCGGCTGGGTGCATGCCTGGCCCCTGGCCCCTCAGGGTCGGCCCTGCTACGGGGACCCTGTGTGTGTGCGCACGACCATGGAGCAGAAGAGCACAGCTAGTGGCACTCCCGGCGGTAAGCCCAAAGAAAGGGGTCCCCCGGCTGGGTGCATGCCTGGCCCCTGGCCCCTCAGGGTGGACTTCCACTGAGTGCCAGGCTCAGATCCAGGCACCTTTGATGGCTCCCCATGGCTGTTGGATCACTTTTTGGCCCAGCTGGGCAATTACATGTCCTTTTGCTTTGAGCACTATCAGGACAACCTCAACCACGTCTGTGAGGTCCTTGGACGCCTGACAGGCCGAGCCTGGGCATGGGCACCTCCCTACCTCGATGGGGACCTGCCCCTGCCTGATGATTACAAGCTCTTCTGCCAGGATCTTAAGGAAGTTACTCAAGATCCAAACAGTTTTGCTGAGTACCATGCTGCAGTGCCCTACGCCTTGCCCCCAGCCTCCAGCCAGCCACCAGTGGACCTGCAGCTGCCTGTGGTGAGGCAATGCTTAGCTCAGTTCTCAGAGGCTCTGGCTCTCAACATGGGCCCTGCCTCAGGCCTGTTGCAGCTGTTCTGGCCAGCCCTGCTGTTTCTAGGTCAAACTCTACATCCAGAAATGCTCTGCCCAAGTATCAGCTGGCCAAGGAGAGCACCCCTACACCAGAGGGGGCCCCTGCCCTGTCCAGTTCTGCGTGTACCTCTGATCCTGGTCCAGTGGGGCCAGCCACCTCCTGTGCTTGCACTTTCAGAATCTGCTAACTTGGCTTCCAAGAAACTGGAACCAGCTCGCCGGGGGTCCAGAATCCCAGAAAGCAGAGGAGGAGGTTTCTGAGACAGAGAGAGACCAGGAGGTGTCCTTGGCTACCCCACAGAGGGTGGTGGACACCCTGGGGACCCCAGGAGACCAATAGGTTTCTCCTGTTCCCTACCCTGCATCCCTGGGTTCTGAACACAGCCCAGGCAGGTACAGCTGCGCCCCTCATGATGAAGTGGTCTGTGTAGCTAGGGAGCCCCAACGCCCCCATTCAGGACAGAGGAGCATCCCCAGTAACTCCAGATGACCCCACAGCTGGCAAGGAGGTACTGTTTGTTTTGAGCTTCACCTTGTCTGATACAAACAGCTCCCCCACCCTCAGCCAGATTGTCGTTTGCCTGTCCTTTATCCTCCTGCTCCTGTGGGTTCTCAACTGCATCCCCATCCCTTACCTGGGAGTGCCAGCTCGCCCGGGCCTGTTCCCACCAGTGGATAGTTGCGTGTGTCAGCCCCCATTAGATATTTGTACCGTCCTTGTCACCCCTCTTGGTTTTCAACACTGGCTTGGACTGGGCTGGGTTTGCCAGGCCTGTCCTGTTTAGATCTGTCCCTGTATGGGGTCTGTTTCTGTCCCCCCACCCCCACGTCTTTACTCCCTGTGACCTCTGTCTTCTTGGCTGGAATGTAAGTAAGGAAGGCTGCGTGGAGGAAGCGGCCACTGTCTTCCTTCCAAGTGAAGGGGATGGTGTTGTGGCTGAGAATGATGCTTCTCTGTGGGTTGACCAGCAGCCTTAGCCCGCTTGGCAGTTGGATGCAGGAAGGTGGGATGCAAGCCCCTGGCCAGGCTCCACTCCAGGCGTTCCCGCTGCTATCTGTTAACATTCCAGTTACACCTGGCTTTCTTCAGAAGCTGGTACGGTGTTTAGTCTCTGTGCCTTTCCCATGCTGCCCTCCTTTCTGCTTTTAGCAGTCCCTGCCTGCCCTGTATCCTCTCGCACACACTGCTGAGTCAGCACTTAAAACTCCAGTGATGTAAGTGACTTGTATCTCCTGGGCAGACTGTGAGCCTCTGGGGCAGGGGCTCTATCTTAATGAGCTTTGTGTCCCTGGTACACAATTCATGCTCATTAAATATGTGTTGGATCAATGGCTGTGCCTGGTGTGGTGGCTGCCAACAAGGAGAGTCATTATTTCGTGGGTGGGAGCTGTCAGGAGCAGAGGCCCAGCCACAAGCACCGCAGGTCAGTGTCGCAGGTGTGGCTGTTTCCAGTGGGGGATTTGAGGATGGGAGGATTTGAGGCTGAATAGATGGGAATGGGAGGCTGCAGCCTTGAGAACTGACTTCCCAGAGCTGTTGGTAAACAGACCGGAGCTGGAGGCCCCAGAGCCAGAGGATTGGAATGAAGAAAGACCTGTTCTGCACAGGAATGGGTTTTCTAATGAAAGCTGAGCAAGAAAGCTCCCTCAAGCCAAGTTCACATGATGTGTGGGTACAGCTGCCCATGTAGAGTGGGGCTCCTCAGAGGGGTGCTTAGACAATGATTCCAAGCCCCTTGGAGTTTTACAATTGTGAAAACAAATGACAAAAAGGAACAACTTCCCAGAAAGTAGGAGGAAAAAAGTAGAAACGTGAATTGGAAAAACAGCCAGTTATTTTAGGGAAAACAGTAATAAACAAAAAGCTAGTAAAACTTTCAGAAAAAAAGAAGTTGGGATGATTTTATTTGGTCACCATCACTAAAAAAGGCTCTGGGTTCAGATGGTTTTATGTGTGAGTTATTTCAAGGCATGGATTCCTCTTAAATACAACAGCTGGAAATCTTGGAAATAGATGGGAAGCTATTTTTAGAAAACCCATATAATCCTGACAGCAAAACAAGCAGGCTGACAGAAGAAACCGATATGGGGTCTTGATTCTGGTCAGATGTCAGAAATCCCTGGACATACTGGCCCAGCCCTGATGCTTCTGTGCTGGGTTGCACAGCTGCCGCTCCATGCGGTCGCTCAAGTCTGGGCCCTACTTTTTGTGCAGGGAAAGACTGCTCCCCCACAGCCCGTTTGAGCCTCTTGTGGCCTGTGGGTCTGGCAGTAGAACCTGGAGCTGCTGTAGGGAATGGATGGCCTGGTGACCCAGTAGACTCTCCTGTCCCCTCTTGCTGGTCTCTGCAAGGCTACCTTCCCTGCTTCCATTTAGTGGGCCTTAAGTGAGTCTCTTTAGCTCGATATTGCAGTTTTCCCACTGACCCCTGTTTTGGGGGCTTTGGCCTTTTCCTCCCTTGGTCCCTTATGGTCCACCACACCTCTGTGAGGGCTGGGCAGGCTCGAGAGCACTTGGGAGAGGCCAGGTGACTCTTTTCATTTGGAAAATGGATCCTATTGTGGTTGGGAAGGGAAAGAAGGCAGGGCTGCACAGTGACAATGGCCTGGTTGCTGATTCTGGGGTCGCTATGCAGGTGGGATGGAGGAGAGGACCTGCGGGGGAGTGGAGAGAGGCCTCTGGCCTGGCCTTCCAAACTGGTGGCACACACTGCATTACAAAGTGACTTTGTCACCAGCGGCTACCTCTGTAGTGACTGAGCTGCTTTTCTACTCCTTGGGGAAGAAAGTGCACCAAGGGCCCAGAGAGGAGGCTGTGCTGTGTGAGGGGCCCATGGGTTTGGGAGAGGAGGCTCTGTGCTGTGTGAGGGGATCTTGGGTCACTCTCCACTCTTGGCAACTGCAATTGAGCAGACAGCCTGGAGAAGGGAGCTCCGGGAGTCACCGAGCCTGGCAGGGTTTGCCAGTGCTCAGGGACTGTCTGAGGTACTGGGACCTGCCTTCCAGATCATCGTATCTATCCCTCACTTTCCTTGGAAATACCTGGTGATTTTATTTCCTAAAGATAGGGCACGGTGGGTGCAACGGGATGGAAAGTACTGTATCCAAGGAAAACTCTAAAACAGGAAGTGCTGAGGATGTGGTCCATTGAGATACTGGAGTACTTTATAAAGTTATGATAATTAAAGTACTTGGATATTGGCGTGGACAGATGAACAGAGGAGAAAATAGAACTTTGAAATAAAGCCAAATACATATGGGAACATAGTACATGCTAGGGGTGTTGTGTCCAATTAATGGGGGTAAAAAGATTATTCAGTTGGGACAACCGGTAGGGCATCTAGAAAACGGTTAGAAAACCAGATACCTAACTCACTATACCAGTGTATATTCCAGATAGATTAACGATTTCAACATTAAAAAATCATATAAGTACTACAGGGAAATATGGGTGAATTCTATTTTTGGAGGGGGCCTGTGTTTCCAGGAATTAAAAAGTTTTAGATGCCCAGAGTTGTTGAAGGTGTGGAGAAGTAGCCTTTCTCATGCTGTTGGTGGAATATAAAATACTACAGTTTAATCACATGACAATTCTGGGCACAACACTGCCCGCTTGTCACGTGCAGAGGCTAATGCCACGGATGGTCGTTTCACAGTGCCACGGTGTGGGGTTCAGAGTATGGACTTGAGCTTGCCACCATGACACCTTGCCACCTCCATGCACAAGCTGAGGGTCCTTGGTGTCACCTGACCTCGCCATTACCCCGCAGTGTCACAGTATGAGCTAGATTGTGCTGCAGCAAAAAAACCTCTAATGTCTCAGCCACCTGGGTCAGCAGCGCTTGTTTCCTGCTCATGCTGTACATCCCATGGATAGGCTGGGGGGTGCCGTGTCCACTGCAGCCTCTCAGGGACCCATGTGGACAAGAACTTCATCTGGACACAGCTCTCCACAATCACATAGGCAGTGGCAAGACCACAGGGAGCCACAAGTGATACGTGCCACTCTGCTTACATTATCGTGACCAAAGGAAGCCACAGAGCCACAGCTGAGTTCCACAGGGCAAGAGCATTTCATCCTCCCACGGGGTGGGGCACTCTGCACTGAGATGTGTAGGCAGCTGTTCGAGGCGACATTGAGCAGTGCTGCCACTGAGGAAGGGAGGGCTGGACCTGCATTGATACCTCTAGCAACATTCCGGGGCTACCATGACAAAGTACCACAGGCTGGGCTCTTAAACATAGAACATATTGTCTCAGTTCTGGAGACTGGAAGTCCAAGATCAAGGTGTGGGCAGGGCCTCTCTCTTTGGCTTACAGATGGCCACTTTCTTGCTCTGTCCCCACATGTTCATCCTTCAGTCTGTGTGTCTGTCCCAATCTCTTCTTATAACAACACCAGTCATGTTGGATCAGGGCCCACCATAATGACCTCATTTTACCTTAATTACTTCTTTAAAGACCCCTGTCTCCAAATACAGTGATGTTCTGAGGTGTTGGGTGTTAGGACTTCAACATAAGAGTTTGGGGGGCGGGCACGGTTCAACCCATAACAATGCCCAAGATGGGTTTCTTTGTTTTTTATTCTTGCAATTTTGGGCAGTGCTGTCATGAGCAACCTTCTGCATGTCACCGAGTGCCATGTGTAGAGTCCCTCCAGGCCCTGGGTTCTGTTGGCTTGTACTGAGGTGACAGATTGCCAAGCCTCCTGCCCTTGAGTAGGCAGTGCCCAGTTCTGTATGCATGGCTCTTTTTCGTTTCTTACATAAGGCATCTTGTATTCCCTTGTACATTAGACTTCGGGTCTACTTGTAAGAGCAGCCTTGTGGTAAGAGGGAAGGGTCTGCTGTGGACATCAAGAGCCCGTGATGAGTAGAGCCCCCCTGCCAACTGCAATGGACCTGTAACATGAGCAAGAAATACATTTTTAATGTGTGAGGCCACTGAGTTTTGGGGGCTTGTGTTTTCCACAGTTTAACCTATTACATCCTGACTGGCAGGGGATCCCATTTCACCTCTTTTCATAGGGCACGTCCCTGCCCCAGCATCGGCTCCTGGGTGCTGTCCTGGCCACCGCGACCCACGGAGCTGTCCCTATTGTGCCCACCTGGCACTCTGGTCTGATCTATCTTCTAGTTATTCTAGATTTGTAATAAAATCTTGATTTTCTGGTAAAGGAATGTCCCCTCTCCTTCAGATTGTCTTAGCTAATTTTTAAAACGCATTTGACCACAAACACAAAAGTGGAGGGGATGGTACAGCAGGCCCCAGTGGGCCCCTCACCCAGCTCCACTAGCGGTAAGCACTAGCCTTGGTGGACAGCCCAGCTGGCCATGCTCTCTGGGACAGCAGGAGCCCTGAGCTCCCTTGGTTCTCTTCAGGCCACAGTGTTCTCTGCAGATGGGCCACACGATCCTAGTTACCAGGGTGTTGTGGGTTGGGACAAGGCCAATTGGGGAAGAGCCCTGGCCTGCAGGTGCCCTCAGCAGCCTGTTCCTTCCCAACCTGCCTCAGGGGCCCCACAGCACAGGGCTGGGGACTGTGGGTGGTGGGCGCTCATGCACTTGCCAGATTCTTCTGTCTCCTCATTGCTGGTGCTACCGGACCAGTGGAGAGGGATGTCTGACTTCTCCCCTCCCCCCATCTGTCCCTGGCTGCTGGCTGTGTGTCTGTACAGTGCAGGGGGCCCAGCCCTGTGAGTGCAGGCAGACAGTGGAAGCATGGCTGTGCGCACCTGGGAACCCACCGCATTGTGGGGACCTGGGCGTCTCACATCCTGAGGGTGGAGGGTGTGTGTTGCCATGGAGATGGGGCCCATTATCGCAGGCTGTGCACATGGGGGCTCCTCAGCAAAGTGTCCTCATGCACCACCCATGGGTCTGGAGCAATCAGGAAGCTGGCTTTTGCCCTCATTTGCAAGTCTCTGGATGTGGGTGTGATAGACCATCACTGTCAAACGTGTGTAAGCACATGCGCAACCAACACACTGCATGTAAGTGTGGATGGTCAGGAGTCGTCGGGGCACACACCTGGCCACACTGCCACCTGTGGGTGTGGGGGGGACACCCCATCTGAGGTGGCCTCTGCCACAGGAGAACCTGATGCAAGTCCCTGCCAGTGTCACCACCACCGTGGTTAAGGACCCTTCCTCCAAGTGGAACTGGGTTCCCAGGAGCTGGCCAGGCATGCCCCTGTCACCTAGGCCAGGGGCACCAGCCCAAGGGGATTAGGCCCTGTCCCACACTCTATGTGAGTGTTGTCTCTCTCCCTGGTGGGGTGGGAACCTGGCATGTGTGGACCAGACCTCCTGGTAAGAGTGGGCCCCAGAGGCCGGCACTGGTGTGCAGGAGTGGTCATGGTTCCTGAAAAGCAGCAAGTGTTTCACTGCGCTCACCAGGGACAGAAAGGCTGGTGGCCCATTGCTGGCCAGGTTCCCACCCCTGCCAGTAACTGCCTGGAGCAGGCTGGCTAAAAACACCCCTGAGCCGGGCTTCCTTCCTGCCATCACGCCAGGCTCCTTGGACCCACTCCTGGGGTGACAGACATTCATGGAGAGACCCCGCCTGCCCATCCTGCCTGCCCTGCAGCCCAGTGGCCTCTCACCTTGGCATTTCCTCTTGGCCCAGCCTAGGCAGCTTGCCTGCTGATCCTGTGGAAGCCCTTGCTGACTTGCCACGAGGCTTCCAGACATCACCAAGGAAGAAAACTAACCTGTGTCCCTGTCTCCAGGAGACACTCGCACTGCCCCAGCTTGGCCTCCCCCTGCCAGTGTGATGGTTGGTGGCTGTGAGGACTTAGAGCGTTGGCGGGGCACCCAGCAGGGACTTGGTGGTGGCACCACTGGGGAGAAGTACAAGCCATG